CTGAACCAAACAGGAGTTCGATCCAACTCACAAGTCTGAGAAGTCTCTGAAGCTGCTGGGTCCCGGCTGCTTCGACACCCATCGTGACATCAGGAAATAACAGGCCTTTCCCTGGGGTCACATCTGCTACTCTTGATCCAAAAGAACCACGGGTATGCCCATTACGAGAGCTTCCCTCCAAAACATCCCTTTTAAAATAAGCCATGCTGCAGCAAAGGAAACCATAAACAAAACAAAAAGGCAACCCACAGTACGGGAGAAAATATTTGCAAGCAATGTGACCGACATGGGATTAATCTCCGAAATATACAAACAGCTCATGCCGCTCAATACCAAAAAAAAACGAACAACCCAGTCAAAAAACGGGCAGAAGACCTAAACAGACATTTCTCCAAAGAAGACATACAGATGGCCAAGAGGCACATGAAAAGATGCTCAACATCACTAATTATTAAAGAAATGCAAATCAAAACTACAGTGAGCTATCACCTCACACCGGTTAGAATGGGCATCATCAGGAAATCTACAAACAATAAATGCTGGAGAGGGTGTGGAGAAAAGGGAACCCTCCTGCACTGCTGGTGGGAATGTAAACTGATAGAGCCACTATGGAGAACAGTACGGAGGTTCCTTAAAAGAACTAAAAATAGAACTGCCATACGATCCAGCAACCCCACTACTGGGCGTGTACCCTGAGAAAGCCATACTTCGAAAAGACACACACATCCCTACATTCACAGCAGCACTATTCACGATAGCCAGGACATGGAAATGACCTAAGTGTCCATGGACAGATGAATGGATAAAGAAGATGTGGTACATATATATAATGGAATATTACTCAGCCATAAAAAAGAATGAAATAATGTCACTTGCAGCAACATGGATGGACCTGGAGATAATCATACTAAGTGAAGTCAGACAGAGAAAGACAAATATCATATGATATCACTTATATGTGGAATCTAAAAAATGATACAAATGAACTTATTTACAAAACAGAAACAGACTCACAGACTTACAAAACAAACTTATTGTTACCAAAGGGGAAAGGGTGGGCGGGATAATTTAGGAGGTTAGGATTAACATATACACGCTTCTATATATAAAATAGATAATCAGTAAGGACTACTGTGTAGCACAGGGAACTCTACTCAATGTTCTATGGTAACCTATATGGGGAAACAATCTGAAAAAGAATGAATATATGTCCGTGTATAACTGAATCACCCTGCTGTACACCTGAAACTAACACAACATGGTAAATCAACTATACTCCAATATAAAGTAAAAATTAAAAAACTAAAACTAAAAAAATAAAATAAGCCAGGCTAAACTAAAAACACAAAAACCATCAGCTGCTGCAAATAACTCACTCTTTGGAAACCTGGGAACTTGTTAAAGCACTGAGGAGAGAAAGGCCTGGCAGGCTGACAGCCAGAACTGACGTACGTCCATGCCCTAAGAAGTTTGTACCACGCTCGGGACAGGTTTGGTGGGCCAGGGGGAGGCTCAAGGGGCCAAAGAAGTCAGGGCTGGGCCACTGTGGCGGGTGTTGCACAGCTACCCACCCTGGCCCATGCCTGTGCTGGGGCCCCCGAAAGAGGGCTCTCGGTGAGCACCCAGCCGTTCCCTCACCGGCCCACTCAGACGCCCGTCCAGAGACCCCTTCTCCTCTCTCGCAGGGATCCTAGGGGGCAGGGCAGCCAGGCAGGCCCCGCAGTTCCCACGGCTGGACACCCCAATTTCAAACTTGCTAATGGGGCAGCTGACGCCTACACTTTGATTATCGAATGCTCGTTTGCTTGAAAAATGAGGTCTGCAGAAATATAAAGGAATGTTTAAATCATATTCATGAAAAGCAACGGGATCAACATGGCTATGAAGTGACGGTGGTCTTTTGGACACCAAAGTCTAGGAAAATGGACACTAGGGCTGTGTGATGCGCCTCTGAGACAGCGAGCTGGGGACGGACAAAGTCCCCCAAGGAGTGACCGTGGGACCCTGAAGTGACGAGACCTCCCTGCAGCACTGAAAAGTCTCCAGTGGTTACAGACACGGGAAAGCAACAGCCTCGGGGCGTGAGGGCCGCCACGGGGCTGGTCTGGCCAGCGGCTCTGCGGGCAGGCGTGGCAGGCGCTGCGCCCAGGACACCTGTCAGCTTCCCTGGGTACCACGTGCACAGTCACTGGTTCTGACAAAAGCAGGGTCAGACATGCACGCGACGCCGGGGGTGAATCCAAACAGCAGCGCTGGCCTCAAACAGCCCGCAGTAATGGCACTATCACCGCTCTGGATCTCGTAAACTCTGGTTACCACGCTCACTTCAAACAGACTACGCAGTATCCATTCAAAGGCAAAGAAACACAACTCTGTCTCAAAATGTTAACTTAAATGACTTTTAGATAAAAGGTCATGGAAGAGCGATCACCCGCGTTCGCAGCAGGCAGCACGGGCAGCCTGGGATGCACACCACCCGGGGCCCCACCCGGCCCCAACACACGCCGGGAGGCCGCCTGTCGTCACCCCTCCGCGGGCGCAAGGCCAGCTCTAGGAGCGACTCAGGGAAGGGCCTTACGGACCGGGCCACCGAGGCTGGCAGGGAAGTGACTTCCCAGGAGCCCCGACGCGGGCCCGCACAGCACGGCGCTGCCCCCAGGAGCCCCCAGCACACACACCCAGGCAGTCTGGCTTGAACAGCGACCCAGAGGAGGGCTGTATGCATGGGCCATGTTCATCCCGGCCTTACCGTCAGGGAGGAGGTCAAACTTGCCGCACTGAACACAGCTTCCATTTCAGAAGGCCCTCAGGGGAGGCCAGGGGCCACGGACCCTACCCAGGTCCCCCTCCCTGCACCCCTCACCCCTCCACTCAGGACGCTCTGGAACCAAAACAGGCCAACGTGCACGAGCAACAAGCACGACACAGCGAGTTCAAGCAGCCAGAAAGCCATTCAGGGTTTCCTTTTTAAATAATTTTAACATCTTTCTTAGTATAGAGGTAAGTGTTCATGAGAGAAAACCTGAGAAACATGGAGATGTACAAGGAAGACAGAAATCTCCAGAAGCCCCACCTCCTCTGGCTACTAGACTGTGTATTTCCTTCCACTCTCTGTCCTACGTGCACATGTATAACATATGTGTTTTGATAACCGTAAAGAAAACGGGGGTAATTTTGTTGATATCTGGCTTGGTGATTTCTTTCCAGAACCGTAATTTTCAGTGGTTACGTGGCATTTCATCCAGAATGTATTTATGATTTCTTTACTGATGAAGACGGGCATTTTCTATGTTTTGTTACTGTGAGAGCTCAGGTTCTTCAATTACAAGGTGCAGCACAAACCCATGTCAGCCGTGTTAAGGCCACGCTGCTTGGCTGTGACCGAGCCTCCGCGTGCTCATACGTAAGACAGGCACGACACCGCCTGTTTGGAAGGCCGGGCGCCGACACGGCCACAGAGCAGAGTGAGCTCCGTAGGGGTGGGGCCGCGTCCCCCACCGCAGCCCAAGCACAACCAACAACCCTTAAGGGCTGAATGAATCCCAGCCTCCCTCAGTTACCAGAGTTCAACATCAGCTAGAGTGTTCTCACCCAATGTTACGGTTTTTCTGACCCCTTTCGTGCCAACATTTTTCACTGTATTTTTAACCAAGATGTAGGTCAGCCAGAGCTACACTACAAATTAAACAGGCATTTTCTGCCCCGCCTGGGAACGTCCACCTGCAAGACATCGCTTCTGGGGAAATGTTCTTCAGCACGACCTTCAGGGGCTCCGGCCTCGACCTCACCCCCGTCACACACGCTCGTCCTTCAACCTGGGCTCGGGGGGGCGGGGGGCGCTCCCGGCTGCACTGGCACAAGCAGGCAACAGCGGCCGGGTCAGACGGACCAGACCCCTTCCTGCCCCCCCTCCCACCCCGACAAGGGTCCCCAGCACCGTCACCTGCCGGGCGGTGCAGAGAGTCTGCAGAGAGAGCGCTACGAAACGCAGATCCTCCACGACCA